CATATGTGTAATTCAGGGCACAATTCAAACGAGATAAAAATAAAATATATATTTGTGGTCTCTCGCCATTGACTACCATACAATATTTTTCTGAAACAAGGTCCCATGGTGGTTGCTCGGAAGGGGAGGGACTTAGGCTCTTTATAGAAGTTACGACGTCACTCTGTAGGCCAAAACGTTAAAGTGAGTTAGCATAGCACTCCCGGTTCCCTCGCTCTAAAAGTCTATGTGATTTTTGAATGGGTTTTAGCTAAATCGCCTGAAATAAGGTCTGTGGTGAACAAAGCCTCTAAATATTTTCACATTTTGATCTATGTATGACATAAAACACACTTGTGTTTTTTTTTTTACTTTATTGCGTTTACTTTATTGTGTTTTTTTTTTACTTTATATGGGCTTCAAAATGTAAAAATTTTGGATGAACTTGACAAAACGTGTAAGGGTCACAACTCTTTGTTGAACACAGATCTTATTTTTTGTGATTTTCCAAAAGTCTATGGGGAAAATGCATAGCTTTTCGGTCGAACGAACCCATGCGCCACTAGCTTCCGAGTTGTCCTACAAAGTGACGTCATAACTTCGGCACTCTATACGTCACAACACTAGAGAAAAGTCGTTTGCAACTTCTGGTTCACGGGGAATTTTAAGTCATTATTGTCAATATAATGAGAAACTGAGTCATAATTATGAGAAAGTTTCTCATTATTGACTTACAGAACTATATTTTTTTACTCAACCGTGGCGGAAACGAACTTCAATAGAAAACTGTTATTTTACATTTTTACTGTATTGTTGATCAAACAGACTTGACGAGCAGGAGAGACTTCTTTCAAAAACGTTATAAAAATCTTGAACCCAGGGTTTATATGAATATTTATGTCTTCTTGGCTCATATCAGATCACTTTTTTTATTCAGGGAGGAGGTTATAATGTTTGATTAGGCATTTAGTTTAGTAATGAGAGTATTGTTTAACAGATGACTATTTTGTAGGAGTCTTTGGGTACCTGACGTTTGGGAAGAACGTTGCTCCTGATATTCTGATGTCGTACAGTGGGGGCGATGTGACCATGATCATCGCCAGGCTGCTGTTTGGAGTCTCAATCATCACCATCTACCCCATCATTGTCTTGCTTGGAAGGTATACAACTGTGTCTTAAGGTTTTTTTTAACAGAACAGTTACATCTATAGAGGAACTGACAACTCTATGCGTGTAGATCTGTGATCCAGGACCCACTGCTGCGGCAGCGACACAAACACACCGCGGTGACCGAGTCTTACGAGAGCCGTACACGTGTTGCCTTGACCACAGCCTGGGTCACAGTCACTCTTCTCATAGCAGTCTTCATTCCTGACATCAGCAAAGTGATCAGTGTTGTCGGGGGGGTTAGTGCTTTCTTCATCTTTGTATTTCCAGGTAATTATAATTGGATCATTGATGCATTCCTGCATCAAAATATTCCTCATGACAGGGGTCTCCAACACGTGGCCCGCGAGCTACCAGTAGCTCGTGGCCTGCCGTCTGATTGGAGGTAGCTCGCCAAAGGACCGTTCACATATCGTGTTCGAGCTCGTTATTTTAAATGTAGGCGCGCGGCAAGAATCGACGCCCTCATTTTTTCCAGGCGCAGCGAGTTGAAAAAATAGGAACCGCAGGTCATGTGACAAGAAACAACCAATCAGCTTCCCCCTTTCCGTAACAACATTGAAAGCTCCGTCAACTTGAAGGATCGGGATGCACCCAAACCGACCCAAACACTAGGGGTGTTTTTCTCTTCTCCTCCGTAAATAAATCTTGTAGCAGTCATAGCTACGTTGTGGAGGGCGCAGTGCCTGGTTGCTTAGCAACAACAGACGCCACGGGAAAATGTTACTATTAATAATAAAAGATAAGCTAATGTGCATGGTAAATGTCAGTCTTTTTTGTATCATTCTTTTTCTAAAAATTATTTAAAGCCTGAAATATGTGAGGTTTATCTACTTTAAAACCTTTTTTGTCAAAATTTAGTTTGAACTTGAACATGTTAGTAGATAAGATAACATGTTGCAAGTCACTCCTTTAAAATCTGGCCATAATTTTTAATGTTATTATTTTAATGTTTATGTAAACAAAAAGTGCATATTGATGCCAATTTTATTTGTTATTTGCTGGTTTTCAACATAAAACTTATAAAGTATTAGTACTTTTTGAAGAGGTTTCTGTGATAACCGTGATCATTTTGGTCACTACAATTAAGAAATGAAATTTTCATGCCATTTCTTCTCTAGTTATGATGCAAAATAAAATCAACTATAATTAATTTAATAATTGATTATAATTTCAGTACAATATGCAAAGTACAAATTCATCTCTGATTCTGTTATTTTCTGTCATTTAAGGCCGACAAAAACTCTAAAACGGTTTGGATAGCTGTTAATATGAGAGTTATGAGACATTATTTAAGAGATTTAAGTATTGTATTACATGAGTAGGCCTAGCTCTCGCGACTTTCATTTTTAGAAAAAAAGGTTGGAGACCCCTGCCTCATGATATGAACCATTTTAATATGCATGATTTTCAGCTTGATTCTCACAACACCTTGTCTGAGCATATAAATATAATGTGATTCTTTTAATGCTTTCCATGTTAGCATGATGTGTTCATATTTTTTATATTCACATGCAAACGTTTTTATTGAAGGACTTTGCCTAATATTTGTGGTGCAGTCAGAGTCAATTTCTCCTACAATGAGGTGAGAGAAGTGTAGTTCTTTAGGATCTTGTTTAATGGAATTCACATTCATTCTATTACATGTACAATAACAGTGTTTTTATGCCTTGTTTACCCCCAGGTATCTTTTGATCGCATGGGGAATGATCACACTTTTCTGTGGCATCTATATCTTTGGGCAGAGCACTTCAATAGCGATAATGCAACTCCTAAGTGAAGTGTAATTTTTTTGACCGTTACTTCAACACAAGGACTTTTAACTGATGGCCTTTCAGAATTTTTGACACCGCTCCGTGGAGGAATTGCTTGCAATGGAGATTGATGTACAAATGTAATAATAATACAACTCGCGACAAAATAACCGTCATGTAAATCTGAATTATTTGTGGTCTTTTTTTTATATTCTGCAATTTGGATGTGCATTGTCATGTCAGCATAGATGTGAGCTAAACTATATTATTGCGGTAGCTCTGTATAGTTCTATGCCATGGCATCGCTGTAATTGGTGAAGTGGATTTACCAATGGTAGACTTGGTGAAATCCATCATGAGCATTGTAATGTTCGAAGTGGACGTCATAACAAATGTCAGTAGACGAAGATTTTCATAATAAATACTAAAGATCTTACCTTCATGCCTTCATGGAAGTACAAACTGGAAGACAGAAAAGGGGCGGAGCTATGAGTATATTTGGACTGTCCTTTAGATTTTTTTGGAACCATAAGTCAATAAGTCAATTTGTAAATAAGTGACAATGTACAAATGTTTATTCATCTGGTTTCATTTCAACAAGCAATGACTTTAAAAAGAAATGCGACGACAGATCCTTTTTCAGCACTTTATTGAATAGCAGCACTCTACATAATCTAGAATTTTAACAAATTTAAGACGAATATAATACTTTGCATCCCTGCAATAAATCTCTACACTCACTTATAAGAGAGAAAGCCAGTATACGGAAACATACATGGGTATAAGAAGTAGTATTTCATCAAACAATGCCATTAAAAGTGACTGCTCGTATAGTTTTATTCATTTAATATAGTTTTGTTTCTTTTTGTTCCATTACTGGAGTAATATAAAAGAAAATAAGAAATGCACAAAATCCATTTAAAGTAGCATAGCTAAATTCTACGGCAAATCATTTACTGGACATTCATTTGTAACATGCACTCACTGTGAGGGATGAACGAACCAAACAGAAGGCAGGATTGGTGGGAAAGGAACGCTGCAGTTTGGGCCGTGTTGGTTTCGCCTGGTGTCGAGTTGTTTACGTTTTTGAGCCAACCAGAAATTCACACAAACACAACAGTCTTACTGGTCAACAACATCACTTTTGAAAAATCCTCTACTAAATTTCGGCTTGTCCTGAGAAATGAAATGATTTGATAATTCAGAAGCAATAAAACTGATGGAATATTAAGTCAGTGCCACTCTTTCCTAGATCCAGTCAACAATGGTCGACACACAATTTTCAAGATAATTCTGTTATTATGCTAGTCTCTATCAGCAAATCACATTTACATAAGCATTTCATCAATAGTTAAGGTACATTGTGCTTTTGGAGCAGATGTTTATTTGGTGTGTTGTAAATGTGGGCCCTTTGACTGGCAGTATGTGTCAAAAATACCAGTCTCTCTATATCAGTGGTCCTGGGGACCCACAACTATGCACATTTTGGATGTCTTTCTTATCTGACACGCTCGGTTGGAGCTCTCTCCCTAACAATCTGATGATCTGAATCAAGTGTGCTAATTAGGAGACATACAAAATGTGCAGAGTCGTGGGTCCAGGCAGGGATGGATTACTGACCGGGCCTATGGGGTCCCAGGGGTTTAAGGCCGTGCAATCCAGTTTGGTCCAGAAAACCCATTAAAGGAGTAGTTTTTGCTGATAATTTACTCACCCCTATGTCATCCAAGATGTCCATGTCAATCTTCAGTCGAAATGAAATTAAGGTTTTTGATGAAAACATTCCAGGATTTTCTCCATATAATGGACTTCAATGGGAACCAAACGGTTCAAGGTCCAAAAGGCAGTTTCAGTGTAAACTGCAAAGTGTTCAAAGTGCTTTAAACGATTGATCAAGCGAAACGCTCATTTAATAAATAAAGAACAAAGTTTAAGTTTTATAAGCTCAAATGCTCGCCTTGCTCTGTTCTGTGACGCACGTTTGTGACTCTCCTGTTCGAACTCGTTCATCAAAACGAACAAATCTTTTTCTGAGTCATTTGGTTCATTCAATGAACGAAACGAACGAATTGACTCGGAAAATTTCTTTACGACTGAAGAAAGAAAGACGTGAGTAAATTATCGGCAAAAGTTTTTTGAAAAGTGAACAAATGAAAACAAATGTTTATTAATGCTGTAACATAAGGCCTCCCTGGAAAATGTTGGGTCCTATGTGAATATGAAGGGCCCAAAACCTCTAATAGAACTATTGTCACTCTTTGAATGTATTTTGTGTTTAAAAAATGTATTGGAAAAAGAACTATATATTATTATTACACTATAACTTTCCATTTGCATAATGTTTTATTGCCTAATTATAAATGATCCCACAAAATGGGCTTAGAGAGAGCAATAGAGTATGTTTTAGCACAGTTATTAAATCTGAACCGTAAAAAGTAAAAACGTACACCCTTCACTCGACTGTAAAAGATGGACCTTCAAATAAAAAAGTAGATATTCGAATACATTGCTTGATATTTGATATCCGTTTCGAATTTGATTTTTTTCAAAAGCGACAGTCCTAATGAGGGTTGGCCCTCGGTTCTTCTAGATCCAGGGGCAAGAAAAGATTTCTACATTTTAAAGGTAAATAACGGAGAACACGATCCCCAGGGCCTTTACAAGTCATAATCCGTCCCTGGGTCCAGGTTAGAAAACCACTGCTCTACATGGCTCATGAACATACAGTTCAAAGTATTTATAACACCAACCTATAACTAGTATCAAATGACCTTTACAGAAACACTATTGTCCATGGACAGCTGTAGAAATACTTTGCTGCACAGTTTTTGTCTTCTCAGAAGTTGTACCAAAGGGAACTGTTTGCAAAGCAGCGAATGCGTGTTTAAATTGGGATGAAATATTACTCAGCCTCGTTTAGTTAGAACTAGGAGAGACTGCTTATGCAAGTTGATATTTCAAATGCAAATGCGAATCAACCAGGTGAGGTTCCCAAACGCTTTGGGGAGTTTTAGTGTCGTCTCTGTACGTTGCAATGGAGGTGAAGAGGGAACTGGTGCTGTGTCCGGCGCTCTCTGCAGCCGACACTACTTTTGGCTCAATATCAAATGGATACTGTGTAAACAAGTAATTATAAAAGAGAAGGGGGGACAGAGTGGGGAGAGCGCTGAAAGGGGGGTAGTTAAGATAGCAGGGACTGTGACAGGGATAGAGAGGGGGAAGTGGAGGAGAAGAGAAGGGTTTCAGGCATAAGGCGGGACCGTTCCACCCGCAGACTGGCTCGCTTCTTAGTCTTTGTTCAGGCTGCACCAGGCGGCTAGAGAGAGTGAGAGAGAGATATTGTCACTCAGTGTCACTATCAAACAGATAAGCAACAGTAAATATTTAATGCCTCAACTGCACGTCTTTATGTTTGTCCAGCACAGCTCATTGATTTTGCAAACTGGTTTCTTATTATAATATTTTAAAGGGGTGATGAACTGAGAAATCAAATTTTCCTTGAGCTTTTGACATCTAAAGCCCCGTTCACACCGCCAGTGATTTAGTCACTATGTGTCGCTAGTCTCTGAACTGTGATGTCGCTTGTGGGCGTTCATAGTGCTGTTGTCGCTCTGATGTTATTGGTAGACTGCACGTCTGGCCATATCTATACAAAAGACCATCACAAGTGATATATAATTTTAATTTGACTGGGAATAAATGACTTTTAAGGCTAAAAAGAAACCGTATGCTGCTGTTCAGTGGATTAAATCATTTACTAGATCAACGATCAATCAATGAACAAATTAAACTCACTCATACGGTCACAAATTATAAAAACGTCATTCGAATTTGACAAATAATCAATTTTCTTGTCCCTAATAGTCAACGTAATGCAGGGGAAATTGTAAAATGAACTGCAGCAGTGTTAAACGTGCATCATAAAATTACAACACTCGAACTATAACGTTAAACGTATGAATTAAACTCACTGAGACTGTCGACAGTTTCTTTTCCATGCATCATTTTATTATCCATGTATGTGTTTACAGTCAAATCATAAACAGTGAAATCGTCCTCGTACTCTTTCTTTCTGTCTTGCCTGCACTCGAGACGGTGAGGTGAACTCCACCGAAAGTCTTCCTATTGGTTGTCGCTCGCGAAAATCGCTTCTCATTTGCATAAAGTTGAAAATTCTCAACTTTTGTCACTTGTCTCTTGACACGCCCACATTCTGTCGCCAACGGTCACTGTCGCTCGTGAATGAATGGGATCTTGTCGCTTTGTCGCTGCGAGGTTTAAGAGGTCATCATATATTATGAGAATATCCTGTAAGTTTCAGACCTGAAAATGTCCTTGTTAGTCCAGTAAAAGCTTTTATTGACACCAGGCTCAGCAAACGACTCGTTTTTCAAAGTGGGGAACTATGGATAAAACACCACCCCCGCAGAAGAAGATCAACGCCTACTTCAACACGGCTGGATTTGCAGACCGATTAAGAGTAAAGAACGGTGCTGTGCCGTCTATATTGGATCCGACAGGAATGGTGCAACATACGGACTCTGGGTCGAACATGTATGGGCGAATCATTCCGGTTGCCATTTAACAAAATTGGATGTTTTCAAAAGTTATAATGGCCGATAAATGAATATTTAAAAAATAAAATAAAAACGGACGAAACACGCTTGAACCATGTCACGAGTGTTGGAGTTGTATAGTTTGTCCACCAGAGGGCACTCTACACCGTTCCTGTTGGCAACACTCGTTGAATTGTTCACGATACATACATTGCTTGAATAACAATTAAAAGAACATCCCCATCAGTTCTCTTAACTCAAATAAGCATGGCAAAATTTGTGACTATCATGTCCAGTTTAAAAAAAAAAAAAAAAAAAAAAATCGGTCGATATTTCGGAATATCGGATTTTAAAACCCAAAAATATTTGTATCGTATCGGCCTTCAAAATCCTTTATCGGTTGGGCTCTAGTTGAAACTCATTATAATGCAGAATTTTTCTCCACTCACAGCAGTGGGCGTTTACTTCCATGTCTTCAGTGCGAGACGCCCATAAAAACCAAGCGTTTTTCAGCTGGGCTCAAAACTAGGGTAGAAAATACCCTATTACTTATTCAATTTTGATGCTTTTGAATGCAAAAAACAAGCGAACATCATAAGTTGACCTCGGACAACAATATAATAAAATTTAAAAAGCCAGTTCATGACCCCTTTAATGTATTGTCATAATTATAAAACACTAGTTTGTAGTGCAAATAGTTTTACCGTTTACTACACTTTGTTATTCTACTAGTTATTTACCTACGGCAGGCAATGAATCGGGATTCTTGCACATTCGTTGAAAATACCTTTTACTTTCACGTTGCAAAATATGGTGGAAATTTGTCAACCGGCATACATATACAAGCCAATCGTTTCCGCTGCGGTTATGCTAAACGGTAGGCATGGTGAGGGATTGGCTTTTGAAATCACATCACATTCAAAGAGAAATCAGATCAAAGGTTTCTAGTAGGGATGAGCGAGTACAGCATTATCTGTATCTGTATCTGTATAACCATATGAATTATCTGTATCTGTACTCGGACTGGGCGGGGCCTAAACCCGGAAGTGGGTCGGGTAGTCTTGAAATGGGCGGGGCTTTAACCGGTATGTTATTTTAAGCATGCAATTGATATGGGTTGATCAGAAATTGTTATATTTATTGCTGATAAGAAAACTATTTACATGACAGCATCAGCATTGAGCTTCAGATCAATGGTTTTGATCACGATAACAACGAACTACAGAACAAGTTTTGCAACAATGAATACAACACATGTGGTTGCAAATATGAAGTAAAATGTAACGAACAAGAGTTTTCATCTCAACTAGGGCTGGGTGATATGGACCAATAGTCATATCCCAATATATTTAGGCTGAATTTCAATATACAAAATATATCCCGATATTTTTTCTGCAAAGTGAGAGCAAATGTTCAGTCAAAGCCAAATATGACATGTCACAAGTAGTTTTATTGAAACATGAACATTTGCAAAATCAAATGAATAAATAATTAACAGGTTTCTTCACCTTAGGGCTGCATGATTATGACAAAAATCTTAATTGCAGATTATTCCCTTGGAATTGTAATTGTGATTTATTAATTGGTTTATTTATTTTGTCAATACAACGTTGGTATGAGCCATTACATTCATTTAAAAAATATAAAAAATAACACAAAGAAAAATAGGGGCATTAAGGGGTTAATATAGACATGACAGTTACCTTGGTGAATAGACAATACTGTTAATGAAACATTGAAACTGCTCCTGGTGAATAGAATTAAAATCATACCTGCTTTGTTTTTATTTCGTGTTATTTACAACGCAACAGTGTTGCATGCTCGTTGTTTCTTTTGCACTTTATATACAGTGAGGCGATCCAGCGCACGCCGCCGCATTTGCGCGTGCAATTGAGTGTGCGCTACGACTAACGTTACAGTATAACGGCTGACAGGACAAAGTCCGTTTTGCTGAGGTGAAAGACTTTATTTCATGTTATAACATAACATGCTTTAATCAAGCACGCAAAGTGGAAAAGGAGTGACTGGGGCGCGGGGAGCAGTGCAGAGAGCTCTGGGTCAGCACTAAGCAGCTTGCTTGGAGCAAGGCGTGCAGCGCAAACTCTAATTACATATCACATTTAAAATATATATTCTTTATATTGATATATCGCTCAGCCCTAATTTCAACATTACTTTTTTTTTCTTTTTTTTATCCGAGCACAGATATTGACTCGTATTACTCGTATAATATTTGTATTTGACAAAAGTGCTTTATCCGTACCGGATACTCGTTTCAGCCGAGTATCCGGCTCAACTCTAGTTTCTAGTATGCCATGGAAGGCGCTTGATGGAGAATTTTGAAATGAATTCTCAAGCTGTGTTCACACTTGTAGCTCGGTTCGTTTGGTCTGGACTCAAAAACGCTGAGCGTTCACATTGGCATTTTAACACCGAACCTAAAAGCATATGGATATGTTCACAACCTGATTCGTCAGCTTTTATTACATATATTTCATAACAGAACTTGGTCTCACTTTATATTAAGTGGCTTTAAGTACTATGTACTTACATTGAAGTTACTACTTTGATACATTGGACTTATTGTGTACATACATGTTTTTACATTGTACTTATATTTTGAAAATACATGCATGTAATTACAACTGTAATTAATTGATGTAATTACATTTGTAATTACACAGTTGACCCTACCCTTACACCTTAACCCACCCTGATACCTACCCATACCACCACACCTGTCCCTAACCTTACCCATATCACACCTCAATAGCAGCAAAAGTGTTTTACTATACAACCTGAACACAATAAGTATATTGTACTTATTTTCCTATGTAAGTACATAGTACTAAAAGCCACTTAATATAAAGTGGGACCCAGAACTTACCCAACATCTAAAACAATGCTGTGTGCTGGGCTAAATGCTCTCGTTGTATGTGACTAGCTGAGAACTCGTGATCTCATTATCAAATGTGTAAATGAGTCAAAACAGCGGCAGGGAGCGTCACACAGAAATGAAGATCTGCGATGAGACGCGGTTCTAATGCCTGTATCAAACTGCGATGGGCAACATCGCGACTATGACAAGATAAAACAGGTATGCTTGAGAATCTTGTGACATATCCCGTTTTTGGTTTGTTTACATGTCTTTTGCGTTCATATTTTATACCAGAGCTCGTTCTCTTCAGCGGCCTCGGCCCGCTTGTTTTGTGCGCATGGCAGCGTTCACACTTATTCAAATGAACCGCACTAACAGAGCAAATCGCACCAGGGTTCGTTTTAATCAAATTAAACATGCCAAGTGTGAACACACTAAATGCAGAGACTGTCAGAGCACTTAATCCTGCAGGGCGCATAATGGCTGTGAAATGTACTGACATCTCTCATAAAGTAGCATCAAAGGCTGGTTTGGCACCATAGCCCATAACAGCCTCTACGGCAGGCGGCAGTGATACGCACCAGGCACAGCGACAGAGGACACAGCCTCGGGCTGGCATAGAGTATCCACTTTGACATGCTGGAAGGCCTTGCAAGCTGCAGTCTGAAGGTGCCTGAGAGAGAAGCAGAGGTGGTTAAAAAAGGAGCAAAATAAACACAGTTCCAGAACTCTGATATCTTCAGATGCAAAGTAGCATCAATTGTATAGCCTACTGTAAAAGTGGATTCTGAATGTAACTTCCAAAGAAAAGAAAAAAAAAACACTGGTATCTTTGGTAATAATTATGTTTGATATGTAAATAGCCCAATAAAGCATTTGAAAAACAAGTGTTTGCAAAGGCATGATCACATTTCTCAGACAGAAAAAGGTCCACTGTCAATAGTGTAGTGATGTATGAAGCTCACACAAAAGTCACTTTTAAACTAGTCTGTTTCAAACCAAGCAGCTTTCTGTTAAGCCTTGTTCACACTACATGATTTCAAAACGTCGGGCTGAACTGTGCGGTTCACACTACATGACTTGCTCTCAGTGAAATCAGGAGTGTTCAAGTTGTTTAGCTGTTCACACCACACAACACAACGTGATTGATCCACAACAGGAGGTAACGCACTACACGAGTTGACAACGTACAACATAGAGATACAACCACGATCGGATGATAAGAGCAAATCATTTTTGACTCTAATGAGAGCTTTTTCAGTACTATGGTACGGTCTAAATCCTGAAAATAATCAAATAAATAACGAGGTGACTACAACTCTGTCACCCAACGATTCTATCTTGTCTACAAACCACGTTTTGTCACGAAAAAACACGCAATAAATAAATAAATAAATATTGCGCCAATATCCAGCGAAGAAGAAAACACAACACGTGAATATCGACGTCAGACAGAAACTAGTGTTGCACACTGTTTGCGCGACGATCTGCTCTGAGGAAAAAAATGCAAAAAAAAAAAAAAAAGAAAAACTGAGATTAACCTGGTGTCCTCAACCCATGGGTTGCTATGATTGGCTGTACTCGTGACATCACTGAGTTTGAGTCGCGCGACGGCTCTGGATATCTAGCAGGCTAGATATTTTTCTGGGCTCTGCGTCGCGTCTGCGACGAGCGTTTTCGCAGCGTTGTTGGCTCTTTCATACTAATAGATTGGCGAGCGTTCATTGTCCGCTAATCCCCCGCGATTTGCACGCGATAACACCCTGACCTGTCGGCGAGCTCAACGATTTGCAAATCGGGCATAAATCGGGCTTAAAATCCTGTAGTGTGAACTTAGCATTAGGGGTGGGGTAAAAATCGACTCTTATGCATGGCGATGCGGACTTGAATGATTCTGAATTCTGATTCACAAATGTCAAAAATCGATTTTCCAAAAAATAAATAAATATTTTTTAGATATATTATAGACGGAACGCAAAAGACGGAACTTGGAAGTGCGGAAGTGCAGTGGCCGGTCGGACCGTCTGCGGCGCATAACAGAGACGCGATGGCTGAGCGCCAACCGCCAAATCCAAACACCCTGACTTAAGTTTTGTATAAACCTAAAATATTTCGTAAACACGACAAATATGAGAAGCCATATGACACGTTTCCAGCCAGAGGAGGAAAAACACTCGGCTGTACCCAAGGAGGTAATCCATCGACCGGAAGTTGTAGCTGCCATCTTGTAGCAGAACTTCACTTGTGTTAGCATTCCCATTGACTCCCATTCATTTTGGCGTCACTTTGACAGCGAATAACTTTACATCTGAGGCATTTGAAGACCCCAATTGTCCTTTATTTATTTCTAAAGAAACGACAATGTATAAAATGCTCCATTACCTTGTAGCTTATGTTATGGCCCCGTAGAAGCAGTTTTAGTAAAAGTAGGCTAACGATTGCGTCATACCCACACGACTCTCTGTCGCACAGTAGAGAGATTACCGTATGGACATGAGAAGAAGCTCGCGCGCAATCGGGGAAACGTGGAGGCAAAATGACAAAATAATTAATCAGAATACCTAGCAAAAGTTCCAATGAGATGGCTCTGTCCATTTCTTTTACTGTCTATGGCTGTACCAGTCGTTGTTATATTATTCAGTTACTACAAGTATGCTCCTAGTTCAGGCACACATTTATTTTCGTGTCGGATCTTTGCAATGTTAAAAAAAATATCTTGTACGTTAATTCTTTATGGGTCATTAGTTTGTACTTTTTACTTGATTCAGATAATCGATAATCGCTTTAGCATCAAATCGCAGGCCTCTGAACCGTAATCGAATCGTGAGGCGTTAGAGATTCCCACCCCTACTTTCTGTTGGTCAGTGCAGCAATTTCGAGGGAAACAAGCAAAATCTGTGTGGGGAACTTTTTGCTTTTTTCACAAAACGAGCGGTTTGTGTGAGAAAACGAAGAATATTTATATAGTTTTTACCTCTTGTTACCACAGCCACGTCCAAGGACGCTTTGTGAGGTAAAACGATATAAATACTGTTCGTTTTCTCACACAAACCACTTGTTTCGTGTCTTAGGCCATCAATGTGTACAATGTGTAATCATGTTTAATTTGGACTTCTCTGTGCATGACCATAGACCTCCATAATATGACTGACAGACAAGAACGGTTTGACCTAAAAATATAAGAATTGAAACTACTGCGGAAACAAAGACACCTGCATCTTAGATGCCCTTGAGGTAAACTAAAACATACCAAAAAATGACTTTCAAAGTGAACTATCCCTTTAACTTTTAAGTAAAAGCTTTTTTTTCTCATGACTTGTCTCGTGATAGTTCAGGTGCTGAGTTAAGAGCGAAGATCCCAGTGAACACAACAAACACAGTCACACACAGGAGAAAAGGCGTTTTACCTCTTCCACTCCTCCTCTCCGTCCCAGAACTCGTACACCACAAAGGAAAGGCCGTCAGGCAGCCGCACAGCCGTCACACTGGAGAGAGGTGGACAGAAGAACAATGAAAAAACACTACACACTTCATCAACACAGATTCAGAAAGCTGAGGGAAAACAATGTTAGAAACAAACAGTGAGAATAAAGAAAACAAGGATGATGTTTTCAAAGAGATGGAAATGATCCTGCCATATTGAAAACGTTAACAGAAGCATAATCATTCATTGTACTGTATGACACTCCACTTGATGGCAGTAACTCCTCAGATATTTCTGTTTAGCTACAGCCGCAGCTCTTAGGCAACAAAACAGCAATGATTAGCATTAGCTCAATAAATCAACAAGGTTCTGACAACTCCCACAACTTTCAGCAAAATGCTTTCTGGATGGGGGAATGATTCAAGCTGTACTCAATCTTGGGTCGCCCACATGTTAGAGAACATTGTGGTCAGACATTTAAAGTCGACGCAAATATAAAAACGAAATCTAATTCAAAATAGTATAGTGTATCAATGATTAAAATAACACTGAGAGAAAGCTACATTTAGATTTAAGATTATCAAGACATGATTCTTTCTTGCTCCAATGAATCCCTCAAAAAAAGTAAATAGGTTCAATGTTGATGTTATGTTGACTTTAATAACCGTACAGAATTATTATTGTTGCAAAACAGTGAACAAAGGTATCTGAACAAGTCGGTCAGTGAGTTATAAGTTAATCTGAATAAAATGTGCTGCAGTAGAAATCAAAGAGCATTTCAATCACCGTTTCACGAACCGAACATGAGAGGAGGAAAGTTGAAAGAAATAAGGGAGGCTACAGAGATGACAGTTCAGCAGAGAAGCTTGCAGATGTTCTCACTGATCAATTATTCACTAGTCTGATGTGAATTATGACGGCAGTAAATGCTGCCACACAAAACCCCCTCTCAGAGAACGGTCTCGGGGAGCTTACACAATAAAGGGCCTCTTTTACTCACTGCTATTACACCATTATTTTATACAGTGGTGTGGGGCTGAAAAATGCTCCAGTCATGGCCTGACCAAAAAATTGAAAATGAAGCAAACCACAGTTCAATTGTTTGGGGTTATTAAGATTTGTTGAGTCTCTTATGCTCACCAAGACTGCATTTATTTAATCACAAATACATTAAAAACTGTTATATTGTGAAACATTATTACAATTTGATAACTGCCTTCAATTTTTAAATTATGTTCAAATTGTATTTGTGATGGCAAAGCCGATTTGGTGCTCAATTCATTTCTTATTATTATCAGTTGTGCTACTTTTTTGTGTGGAAACCATGATTTTATTAGGGCCCAAGCCCTGAAGGGGCGAAGGCCCTATTGTTTTCCTTGGGATTATTTTTCTTTACTATTATTATTATTATAATAATTATTATTTTACTACCTTTTGGGCACTTTTGGGGCCCTTAACGTGCTCGAAAACTCTTGAAACTTTGCACACGGGTCAGAACCCGCGGCCATCAGAGCTGGGCTGAAGCTGGTACCTGGGCGTGGTAGGGCGGCTCGTCAGCGCCCCCTGGAACGGGGTCCGAACACTTGGTCCATAACTCAAACACGCTTGTATGTAATAATATGAAACTCGGTACACATGTTGATCTCATCGTTTCATCTATACCTCACACTCTTACTTTTTACCCCAGCCCAACAGGAAGTCGGCTATTGAGGTTTGTTTGTAAAACGCTCGCAATGGAATGTCATATACTCCTCCTAGAGCTTTGATCCAAATTCGACGAAACTCGGTCAGCGTGAAGTCAAGACATTGAGGATGAAAGTTTGCGAGGGGATTTTTTATATCTCGAACGGTTTGTCCGTGGCGAGGAAACGAAATCATGGCGAGAAACGTGAAACAGGAAGTGTGTTATAACTTCAGCATACATTAACTGATCTTGATGAAACTTCAGCAGTGTGTTCGCTGTAAGAGGACGATCACATGGATGTGACTATTGTGAGTCAAAGTTATAGCGCCACCAACTGGCAGCAGGAAGTGTGTCACTTTCAAAATGCTTTGATATCACCCTTTTATTTTTACCCGATTTGCTTCAAACTTCATCTGTATAATGTAAACATACGGCAGATGTAGACCTGTGAATGGATTCTTGATATCTTTGAAACTGTTGCCGTGGCGACGCATCAAACTTTACCCTTCTTTTAGGATGCTTTTAGGATGCTTTTGAGACCCTTAGCATGCTTCAAAATGCATGAAACTCGACAGACACATCACATTTATTAGCCAGTAGACATGTGCAAAGTTTCAGAAACAGGCGTGGTGAGGGCTCAGTAGCGCCACCTTTTGACAAAAGTGGGGTTGTTAGTTTTAACTAGAGTTACAAAAATTGGTATGTATATTGTACTACTCGAGCCGGACAACTTTCTAATTTACACTTATTAGCTAGGACCCACAGAAACTCAGATATTTTTGTTTGAATATGGTCACTCTGAGCCTACATGTCTCTGTGTCTTTGGCTGTCTTTGGCTGTCTGTGTGTGTGTGTGTGCCTGTGTGTGTGTGTGTGCAGGGGGAGGGGGCTTAACCATTTCACTGCTGTGTGTATGACCTGCATAAAGAAAATACATTTCTCAAGCCTGGTATTTTTTAAATAAGTTTTTATTTTTGTTTTTTATAAGTAAAGACATATAACTAGTTTAATTGTAGTGCATTGACAATAGTTTTATATAATTAGTTTATTAATCAGATTAACTTGGTCAATAAACTTGGTCTGAAAATTTGGTCCATAAATCAAACACACTTGCATGTAATAATATGAAACTTGGTACACATATAGATCTCATCGTTTCATATATAGCCTACTTCACACTCTTACTTTTTACCCCAGCCCAACAGGAAGACGGCTATTTAGGGTTGTGTTTAAAACACATGCAATGGAATTTAAAGTATTGCTCCTAGAGCACTGAACCAAATTCGACAAAACTCGATCAGCGTGAAGTCAAGACATTAAGGATGAAAAGGTGCCAAGGGATTTTTGATATCTCGAACGGTTTGGCCGTGGCGAGGAAACGAAATTATGGCGAGAAACATGAAACAGGATGTGTGTTATAACTTCAGCATACATTAACTGATCTTGATGAAACTTCAGCAGTGTTTTCGCTGTAAGAGACCGATCACATGGATGTGACTATTGTGAGTCAAAATTATAGCGCCACCAACTGGCAGCAGGAAGTGTGTCACTTTCAAAATGCTTTGAAACCACTCTCTTATTTTTAACCGATTTGCTTTAAACTTCATCTGTATAATGTAAATACACGGCAGATGTAGACCTGTGAATGAATTTTTGATATCTTTGATACTGTTGCCGTGGCAACGAATCAAACTTTAACATTCTTTTTTGATGCTTTTGGGACTCTTAGCATGCTTGAAATTGCTTGAAACTCAACAGATACATCACATTTATTAGCCAGTAGACATGTGCAACTATGGCAAAAGATTAAAGTAATGTCAAAAAAGTAAACACTAAAAGCCTCATATCTTCTAAAAATTTAATTATACATCATTTGTTTCTAAATTAAATTATACAAATATTATAACTTCCCCAATTTTTCCTTTTTTTCATTTAAGAATTATGTTTACGTTTAAAAACAGCCAGAATTGTTGTAAAATTCATAAAAAAATAATAATCTGAGTCATACGTAGTGCTATACTGCCCTCTTGTGTTCAATATCAGGTAGGCCTATTGTGTATATTCCCACCGGTTAATCAACGTGTGACTCCGCTGGGACTTGGGAGCTTTTAAATCGCTTACTTAAAACCGAAAGTCGAAATACGGATGTCCGCACAAGACATTAATGGTGTGGAGTAGAGCGAGCATTTTAAATAAATTCCTATTAAGTAGGATTGAACTAAACAGAAAGAATGTTCACTCTGTTCTGCTGGTTCCTCGCTGGTGGATCATATGATTACTTTGTCATAATCTATGACAAAAATGCTATTATAAACCATATTAATAATAGATAATACACATTGCTCTTATTTTTGAAAAATACATTCATGAAAAACAAGATAACAAAAATCATAAAAAAATATAGCCATGGCTGCTATAAATGTTTGAAATGCATAGGACAGATGTTAAATGACGCAGCAACATATAATTGAAAGGCAATTAATAATCTGTCATTACGTCACTGCATTATGATATTACGGCTCCAATACGGTGCAGCACAAAGCACTTATGTGCATCCCAAGCGGAGAATGATGTGCTTGAAGCCACATGAAGTTACAGCGCAGTGAGTCCGTATTGAAAAGTTCAAAGCACAAAGGAAATACATATTTATGAACAGTGTATTATACATTATCTATCTATGCAATAGTTTATTGAGCCTTTTCTTTTAAAGGTTTTAAATTTCAGTTACTGTGTGCGTGAAGAACAATTATAGTGCTCTGACTCTAGTGTTGTGATCTAACCGATAGCGTCCGACACCCGGTAGAAAGTAACACGGTTAAGTTACAGCAATAAAGTCCAGCAAGAAAAAGTTTCTTCATTCGAAAATATAGACCTTTAGACCTTTATCTTAAAGATCCAGTATAATAGGATTAACATTCAATCATCTTGAAGATCGTTTCATCATTGACTGTAACCAAATGTGACGTGCTGTTTGAATGCTGAATGGAGAATGACTGACAGGCGCAGAGAGGGAAAAGTTTGTGTTCTTGAATTTAATGACTTAAATATTAATTTCTATATCACATAATAGCTTCAGAACACTAATAATACAGTACACAAAAACTTTATGGTACTTTAGAAAGTTTTTGTGCCTTTGTGCCTAACATACAATAGTATATATGCACAATATAGAATTTGAATCAGCCTCGTCAAAGATGGCAGTGTCAGAGCCGATACCGACCCTGAGTATCTAATCGGCGCACTTCTTTTCAACATTCAAATTTGAAATTGAAATTGCTTGAAACTCAACAGATACATCACATTTATTAGCCAGTAGACATGTGCAAAGTTTCAGAAACGGGCATAGTGCAAGGACTAAATAGCGCCACCTTTTGACAAAAGTGGGGTTGTTAGTTTTATCTACAGTTACAAAAATCGCTATATACATTGTACTCCTCAAGCCGGACAACTTTCTAATACATAGTCATTAGCTCGGACCAAGAGGATGTCAGATATTTTGGTTTGAATATGGTGAGCCTCTCTCTGAGCCTACGTCCATGTATGGCAAGCCCTTTTAACATTTAAAAGCTAAGTTTGCCTGTCCGGAATTAACATTGTAGATATCAACAACGTCTTTCTGTCTATTCGTAATTACATTTTGGATAGTTTGTATTATCATTTAAGATATCTGTAACATAATTGTGACTAGTCGAAATGACAGAGTATGGCAAGCCGTTTTAACATTTAATCATAAAAGGGCCAAAGCCTTCGGCACCGCCACCCGGGTGCATATAGGTAACTAAAGGAACCGGGGTTGCGGTGCCACCGGCTTGGGCCCGCCATCGCTGCTCGCAGCTATATTTATTATTATTTTTTTTTAATGGAAACCATGATGTTTTTTTTTTAGTACAAAAGCATTTAAAAATTTGTTTGTAACAATGTAAAAGCCTTTTCTGTCACTTTAAATCAATTTAATGTATCCTTGCTGAATAATTTAACTATTAATTAATTAAAAAAAAAAATTACTGATACCAATCTTTTGAACAATAGTTTATCCAGTTTTACCCAGGTGAAAAACTAAGTAACTTACTGATTTTAAAGTAGTTCAGGACGATTTGTAAACAACACTATCAGTAAAACGGCAATTGTTTAACCAGTTTCATCATTAATTCATGAACTAGAATAACATCACCTGCCATCTATATCTAAAGGAGGTAAAACGATACAGTGTCTTATTTCAACACATCAGGGATAAATACACATTGATGAGATGCATGCATTTATTAGAGAGGCACAGGTTTACTTTAAGAAATATAGCAGTTATGCAGTGCAGTTATTGCTACCCTCCAACAGACATTTTGAAACATATGAAACTTAATAATGATGTGCCTTTCCCTTACCAGAAAACACTTAAGCCTGACAGCACTATAAAAAAAAGCACAGAAAAGTTTTGTTCTAACATACTTATAAGATGCAATGAGAGAGAAAGAGGGAATTGGAAACATACTAGAAGGTCAAAGTAAGACAAATGAAGTCAACTCACTGGAAGCAGTCTCTCTGAGTAGACACATTCTTCAGGTATTGTTTCAGGGCCTCGCAGAACTCTCCCAGCTGCTTCTGGGAAACATTCATCTCCTGGCGGATCAGGTAGAGGGACTAAAGAGAGAAAAAGAGCGATAGGATGGGGACAGAGAGAAAGTGGTTTGTTTCCAATCGTCTGAATACATAATGAGAACTGTGAGTCTAGGAGGATGATGGGAACGTCTTGTCATATTTTTAATGTTCTCTTGAGGCAAAATAAATAAATAAAACCAGACTTATTTTGAGACTTAAGGGTTTAAAACACCATACGTTATAAAGACTTTTCTTCACCCAAAAATGAAAATTTTGTTATGAATTACTCAACATTTTCATAACACAAATGAAGATCTTTTTGATGAAATCTGAGAGCTTTCTGTCAGCTACGCAACTACAACTTTGATGCTTCAAAAACTTCATAGATCCTTAAACTAATCCATATGAATTGAGAAGTTTGGTCCAAATTTTCAGAAGAGACACAATCGCTTTATATGATGAATAAATTGAATTTAAAATTTAAATTTTGGGGTGAACTAACCCTTTAACTCTAAGACTGCTTAGAAAAGCAAACGGTCTTAAAAGCTTTGATCCTCATTTAATAAGAGTTATGGTCTATATTACAGCTGAAAGGTTAAGCAAGGGTTAATCTTCATTTGGTTATTCCTTCAGGAGGAGAATTATATACAGTATGAAAAATGCCAGAGTGTAAAATCAATTCAGCAACTCCTTTGGATCGTCGCCTAAGTAACTAATTAATTCCCAGTGTAATCCAAATGATGTAGAATTGTGGGAGGGAGTGTGGTTGGCTACCAAATCAAGTTCAGTACAAATAATAACAGGGCAGGCATTAAACCTGCTTCCCTGAAACAAATAATGAAAAAAAAAACAAACACATTTGCTGTTTCAAAATTTCATAACATTTCATAAAGGGTAAATTTCAGTCCTTCACGGAAATGAAACCGAACTGCTTTTGACTCGTCGTTCTCGTGTAACATGTCACTCAGGGCTCCCACTCGTTTCTAAATTGGTGCTGTCATCTTGAACCAATTTTATTGAGTCTAAGAGACTTGATTAAATACCCAGTATTACTAAGAAATGATAGGTTTAAATATTATAATTTCTTGGCAGATATTTCCACACCGCAGAGCACCCCGAGGAGCCTGGAGCGTTGATTAACATCTGCATTTATATGCTGAATATCATTAAGGTTTAAGATGCCAATATGCAAATCATTTCAACCTAAAGTAATATCCTTTAAAATGTTTATAAATAACTACCGTTCAAAAGAGTCAGTTCAATTTTTTTTATATAATAATTATTACTTTTATTCAACAAGTATTCATTAAATCGATTAAAAATAACAGTTAAGACTTAGATTTCTATTTCAACCAAATGCTGTTGTTCTGAACTTTCTATTCATCAAAGAAACCTTGAAAAAATATATATATAATTTAATAAGGTACTACAATACATTCTCTATAAGATAGGCCTATAGGAACATTTATGATTATTACTATTCTTAATTTATTTATATTTATATATATATATTTTTTTAATTTCACATGTGTTTTGTTGATATGTATATTGTGTGTCTGTTTTTGTTTTTGGATTGTATTTGTCTGTGTTAGGGGACAACGGATGGAAATTAGCATTGTGCTAAATCCGGCGTATTTACGTTCGACTATGCTTGTATGTTCATTAATATGCATTGTCCCATCTAAATAAATTAAAAAATAAATAAAAAAAGGTTTCTTGAGCACCAAATCATGATTTCTGAAGGATCACGTGACACTCAAGACTGGAGTAATGATGATGAAAATTCAGCTTTGCCATAACAGGAATAAATGACATTTTAAAATATTATTTATACTATTTCATATATTATGTTTTTACTGTATTTTGATCAAATAAATGCAGCTTGGCTAACCGCAAACTTTTGAACGGTTGTGTATGTAAATCCTCTGTCAGACCTGGTGAACTGTAAAAAAGAAAAAACTGCAGATTTGGTGTGTGCTCGCTTATAACTTATAACAACTGCACAACAACACAAAACATATCTTTAAAGGCCTAAAAAAAAAAAAACCACGTGAAAAAGGGCATGTTTTTTAGGAGATATCAGGGCATATTTGGTGTGTGTGGTGTCTGCTATAACTAAATTGTCACATCTTCAATAAAGCATGTGTAGTTCCCCAGCAGGTGGGGAAGATAAAACCCAAGAGAAACCATTAGGCCCTTGGATTTGACAGCAGTCCCGTTCCCCGAAGGCGAGGGCAATAAAAGAGCAGAAGCCTGGTAATAAACCCTGAACTTAATCAAGAGCACTATGCCACCCTACACTAGCCAGAATGCAATCAGAAACACTACATTAGCCGACCTACACACAACAATGATAAGGATCATTCTGTTTTCCCATTCTCCTCCACTGGAGGCTTGATCTGATAGGCACATAAGAATAATTAGAGGAATGCATGAGGATACGCAATCCAATTTTCTTTGCATTTCGACATCTGGCTGAACCGAACGCATCGAGACCGGTTGCACTAATGGCTTTCATTAGTCTTCAGTGTTTGTTTGAACCGTGAGGGGGCTTCATTCAGACTCAATGCTGTGGAATAAACCGATAAATCATAGCTTGGTAGACGATACAAATGTGACCCATAGCGTAAGGCTTTGTGCTCTGTGGGATATTCTCATTGTATTATTAGAATCCTTAAATCTCTCGCTCTGACAGAAGCCACTTTAAATTTCCTTTAGTAATATTTCATGGGTGTATTGCAATGTCTCTCATTTGGCTTTATGCGGAATTAGCAATCCCTGATGTGGCCAATGCGCTTTACGTATGTGTATGATGTGTGTCTCTTTAGCTCAGAAGGGAACCTAAACTAATGAACCCTAAAGACCCCCATGTGGAGTTGAACTGCTCAACTTCTACATTATGCATCAGAAACAGACACACGCACACACACACACAACGAAAGGAAAGAATATTTTATGTGCACAATTTCCTACCATGTGAGTGAGGAGAACGTCTTAGGTACAGTACAAGTCCATAAAAAAAATGTAAGAAACAGTTACCATGGAAACTGGGGAATACCGTCCCAGTTCTTTCTGATTGGCATCTTTCTACCCCCATTTATCCGTTCTCTGGAATCACTGACCACATTGCGTTGTAGCATTATATAAGTTTAGCATCTCTTTAAATAAACTGCTTTGCTTAAAGGGTCACTCCACCTCTGGAAAGATGAATGTCTATTTAAAATGGGTCATTTATGTAGAAGAAATGTGAAATTATTTTTGAATTTGGAGCTTTCTAGACTGAGAAAAGCCAGAAAATGTATTTTTGGCTTATGTGGTTGAAAGACAACAACTCCCAGAATGCACTTGCTTCACTGCTTTAGGAGGCCACGCCTACTGGTAACAGAGCGCAGTGGTTAAACAACAAGTCTAGGCTACTAGTGATGAGTCTGCCCGAAAATGTGTTTCGAGATTGTCCGGGATTCGGCTTTTGCGTTCAACAGTCGCCATTCATCAAGTTTATCGTGGCGAGCGGGACGAGTGAGGGCCGCGGGAGAACGGCGCGAGGCCGATGGCGTGATTACCGATGAGCGACACCTGTGAGAAGCACCGGTCTCGTATCTCTCACGGAGGAGCGGGAATTTTCTTAGCAATGTTAAAACGCACATCACTTTTTAGCGTTCATGTAAACACTACATTCAGATTCACCAATCGGAATGAATTCAGTTACATTGAAACAAAAGCTGTGCATGTAAACAATGAATAGCGACTGCAGAAAGCAAAAGCTGAATCCCGGACATTGACGGCCGGACATGTCCGTGAAAAAGAGGACGGTAACCCCTAAAGTTACAACTCAGCTTTCTCCACAGAACAAGAGCCTGCTAGTGTAGCTTCCAAAAAAAGATGGCCGACACTTTGTGTAATCCCAATCCTCCATAATGCATCTGTGTATTCAGTACCTTCGTTAATCTTTTCAAAAAGTTTCTGCCGGTGAACTCAAACGCACTGGCACTGATCTGTGATTGGTCTGTTAGAGCATTAGGCCCAACCCCCTATGGGCGGGTTTAAAAGGGTGGGATCTAGTGCTTGTAGTCTTTATAGAAATCCCCCCTCTTACACTTCCTCCTACAATGACGTAAAATGACGATTTTTGCATCATTGTAGGAGGAAGTGAAAGGTAAATAGCGGATTTCTCTTGTCTGTGTTGCACGACCATTCAATAGTATAACTGGGTTTCTAATAATGGAAAGCTTAATGCAAATGGGTTGAGTCGAAAAGGCACAAATGGGGGCATCTCACTGTCCCTCTCTGCATCCCATAATTCCCTCCAAATTAGCAAATATGGCTCTCAGATATGTATTTGTCCCTCTCCCTTTCACTTTCAGTCTGTCCTCGGGGGTTTTATCAGCTAATTTATATTCACATTGGCCAATCAAGACAAGCACTGCGGGCGGTGTAAGTCTAGTGAAGTCAGTGAATAAAGCCTGGAAAGGATTAAACTGCTGAGCTAACAGATGCATCGAGCCACTGGACTGATCAGTCATTAGTCCACTCTCTATAAACATGTCTTGAAGAGAAGATAAGAGCTCTCCTTCTTGCCGCATCTCCACTCTGCTATTGACTCCAAAAAGCCTTTGTTTTCTTCTATCTGGAGGTGGGAACACATTTTAGATGCCTGAACATTTTGTTTATATAGCTCATTGTAATGACTTCCATAAATATTAACAGGAGGAAAATCAAAAACGTAAGTAGCAGTAATTATATGCTAATATATGCATTCATACATATTCAAATATATGAGGGTGTGAAGAAAAGCACTATTGCTGTAATCCTTAAGAAGATCTACCTGCTCATTTAAATATTCGGCATCACTGTTCAAATTCCTGTTTCTTGTGACTGGGATTAGGTCATCCAAATGTCAAAATGCATGCAATTTACCAGAAGCAAATGGAGCAATAGTCAGTTGTAAACAGAAAAAACTCTGTTTTAAAATGGCTCTTTTCTGCTCTGTGTAATAATTAGAGCCCAACCGATAAAGGATTTTGAAGGCCGATACCGATACAAATATTTTTGAGTTTTAAAATCCGATATTCCGATATATCGGCCGATATTTTATTTATTTATTTATTTTTTTAAACTGGACATGATTAGTCACAAATTTTGTCATGCTTATTTGAGTTAAGAGAACTGATGGGGATGTTTTTTTAATTGTTATTCAAGCAATGTATGTATCGTGACCAACTCAACGAGTGTTGCCAACGGTGTAGAGTGCCCTCTGGTGGACAAACTATACAACTCCAACACTCGTGACATGGTTCAAGCGTGTTTCGTCCATTTTTATTTTATTTGTGAAATATTCATTTATGGGCCATTATAACTGCCGATACCGATAGTTTGGAAAATGCCTAATATCGGCCGATAATATCGGTCTGCCGATATATCGGTCTGGCTCTAGTAATAATCGTGGCAGATAACACTGCGGGAGACCCTGATATTATTATAGGTGGGATGAACTAATTCCAGAAATATCTAATGCCTCCCAAAACAAAGTTTGTGTTAACCAACAAACACAGAGGCACACGCTAAAGCTGTCATTTTGAAGCCCAATTTTGCCCTGAAATTGACAAAGTGTAAAAAGGAATGATTCAATTACCCCTGATCCCTGCAATGTCAATAAGAAGTCAATTTGAGCAAAGATCTGTTACACACTGAACTCAGTTGCACTTTTCCTTTTTTTTTTTAAACACAGCAATCTTTTCCTTATTAGATCGAAAACTTTTAAACCACAAAGTTTTACAAGAGATTAAATCCCACACTTTAACCGAACAAATCCGTACGATATTTCTGTGCATTCCCATCATGCTCTGCTGTGTGTATCACTAAGTCCACAGAGCGAGACTGATTCGTGGTCATGTGAGGTGTAGCGTGATACTGCCTCTGATCTTTTAAAGGCACAAATGACTCCTGGAACATGTTGGTATTAAACACACTGAGCTGGTGCTTTCATAAGGAGACTAGAAATGTGACTAAATCCTGAGGAACAGGTGGCAGATCTGCTGCAGGTGTGTGGAACAGCACGAGGAGCTCTGGAGAGACCCAAGCTTTGTCGGGGGATTGTTCATGCATTGTCTTGGAGGATTTTATGCAGTTTTCTAACATGCTCTTTGGTATATAAGACATGCTTTAGTACTTACTGCGCTAGTTGTGCCATCAGTGTCTGTTAGTCGCTGATGTAGGTCAAACCAAACTGTCTGCAACACAAACCAGAACAGAAAAGCCACCAGTGAATTGACTGTCCCCCTCAGCTGCCCCTCGCTGCTTCTGTCTGTCGGCAAACACTCAATCACGTGAGCTCAGATATCAATCACAAACACATCTGCCTGACTTTTTACCAAGAAAAAAAAAGTCTAAAGCAGTCTACAAAACATAAAAGTATGGATCGTTCACACATGTAAACATGCGCTAATGTCTCGAGTCTTTTGCATGGTATTCTAAAACTAAGGTTGTGTTCACACTGCAGGGGCTTAAAGGGATAGTTCACTTTGAAATAAATTTTTGGTATGTTTTAGCTTACCTCAAGGGCATCCAAGATGTAGGTGTCTTTGCTTGTGCAGTAGTTTCAATTTTGGTATTTTTAGGTCAAACCGTTTGTCTATCAGTCATATAATGGAGGTCTATGGTCACCACCTCAAAGAGCATGCACAGAGAAGTCCAAATTAAACATGATTTAATGACTCGTAAATGTAAGTACACATTGATGGCCTAAAACACGAAATGAGCGGTTTGTGTGAGAAAACAAACAGTATTTATATCGTTTTAACTCTTGGAACCACAGCCACGTCCAAGAGATCTGAGGGGGCGGGCGCTTTGTTGCTGTGGTAACAAGAGGTAAAAACATTATAAATAATGTTCGTTTTCTCATTTAAAGTTTCCTGTGCATGCTCTTTGAGGTGGTGACCATAGACCTCCATTATATGACCGACAGACACGAACGGTTTGACCTAAAAAACGTTGTGTAACAGCGCGCGCGGCACCGCGTCCGAGGCTGAACGACTTCAAGCCTACTAAATTGCAAAGTTCATTGCAAAGTTTTGCAATAAAGTATAAAGTTGCAATGCTTTAGTTAACAGTGAAAGAGTGTGTGGTGCTTGTAGCTATACATTTAATACTTGACTACTGTTTTATGTTAGAAATGTTCAGCGACAGATAGCAATATCCATGCAAACTATTCAATTTTTTTTAAATTAAAAATTTCACTATTTTGAATTGAAAATATAGTGTAATTTATATTATTCATGTAATTTATAACTGACAAGAAGATATTCGATTTTAGACATGAATAAGAGTGAATGTGGGCATATTTTTAAAATGTTAACCTTATTAGCAAATAGTTTAAGTTGATTACTATTCACAAGTTATTTCACTTTTCCTAAAATTTATTTTAATCCTTTAGTTATTTAATTCCTTTAAATAAAAAAATAAAATTAACTTTGGTTCTCCCCAATGTTTAAGGCATGGTTATGGCCTTGCTGAGTAGCAAAGTTAAAAGTACACATACAGCATGTACTGTATATAATTTTTTTTTTACATACTATTTGTCTCATTTTAAACTAGAAATTCTGCTATTTTATCAAATAATGGCAGGTAAAGTTGTTGGACATTTTTTTTTTTTTTTAGTAATCAAGAATCTGAGCACTAAGAGAAAGCCTGCTGGCATTATTTCCTTCCTCCATGTAGAGGCTATAAGCACTGTCACTGGGATGCAATGATGAATGCACATAATAAAAAATATATACTGAGAACAAGAACAGTATAGGCTACAATTCAAATATTCTCACTATATTCCAAATATATGTACTTTATGAATTCAAGAGGAATTAACGGCAGTCCTGGCTCTGAAATGTTAACACCACCGCAATGTAAGAATTATTATGTGCTTCATCAATGCAAGACATTGGTATCTCCAGTCAGTCCATCCACATGAAGTGAACAGGGATGGTGTGGAATATTTTTTACCATCATGGAATGACAGAGCACATAATGGCCAGTAATGATGCCACAAATGCGTGCAGCTGTCTCTCTCGCTGATAAAAGCGACAGAGGGTTATCCATCAAAAATAATAGCAAGAATGACAACCGCCGTACTGTCGAGTGTGAAGACTGCAGGAGCGGCATGAGCGTTAGTCTCCACAGAGATTGGAGGCCATCAGGATGCCACAACTGGATGGAAAAAAGAAATGATGCATATCCTAAAGCTGTGGGGGCGCATTATGCAGACAACAAGAGCACTCTGATGACTGATCAGCTCTGAGCCAAAGCGGGTCACTGATGTCAGGCTGGCCTGTCTGCTGAATGGAGAACGGGACAGGACAGACGTACAGTGCTATGTTTGACATTTCAATTAAAGTGAAGGCTCTGAGGATGGATGTTTAGAGCTAAATCCTGCACAGACCCAGGTGTGCTGCAATAGTTGTATTGATCAACTATGGCAGATTTCACAGTGGGCCGAGTCTGACGTGGAAACTGGAAACTTTCCCTAACTTGACTTGAAAACCTTGAAGGCGAGCCAAACAATGACGATTGCAAAAGGTTGCATGGCTTTCAGGGGTGGATGGAAAAGAGGTATTTCAAAATATTGCAATGTTTTACCTCAACACACTGTATCGACATTGTCAAGAAGGTGTAGTAGTAGGTCAACACAGATTATGTTGTACAGCTATGCCATTAAAGAACCATTTTCATGGAAACAAAAAAACTGAAAACTAAAAAGAAGCGGACCCTAAACTAAAGTGTTACTTATCAGCATGCATATTTCTATTGTCTGTTTATTAGTACTTCTAAAGCACATATCAATGCCTTAATATGCGTGACTATATTCTACATCACTTAAAGGAGAACTCCGGTGAACAATGAACCTTTGTTCTAATAAAACATTGATACCTAGTCAATCGTTCTCTGAGATTTGTTTTCATGATAATCGAATGTAAAGAGTTTTATCTCTAAAAACTGTTTAGCGTATAATGCTAGCAATGGGGGCATTGACTAAGTAAAAAGACATCGCTAGTTTATACCACTAACAAGGCTCAAAATAGCCTCACACTAACGCAGTAACATAATGAGGGTCCCTACGTGCAAACCGAAGCATTGAGAACTTTGCAAGTGTACAGACCGTTTAATAAGAAGATACTTTATGAAGACAGTCCACTTCGCGAATACAGACAGGAGCCATCTTTGGAAAACAGTCTCGATAAGTCGATCTCCGAACGCCGTTCATTCAGTTCAGATCACTCAGCACGACGTTCGTGGTTTGACTTGTCGAGACTATTTTCTAAGATGGCTCCTGTCGATATCGGTAATCAGACAGTTTCTGGTCTCATTGACTTCCATAGTATATATTTTTTTTCCTACTATGGTAGTCAATGAGACCAAAAACTGTCTGGTTACTGATATTCTTCTAAATATCAGAAAATCGGCTGAATAGATTAGAAAACGTTAAAACCCAACTGTTTAACTCTGGGGGAGTTGTAAAATGAGCCTATTTCCCAAAAAAGTGGAATATCCCTTTAATATTAAAATGTTGAAAACAGTTTAATATTAATGTGGATTGTGGAAACCATGATACATTTTTTCTCAGGATTCTTTGATGAATAGGAAGAACAGCATTTATTTGAAACTGAGAATTATACATGGGTTTACTGTCACTTTTGATAGTCTTCTTTCTGAATAAAAGTCTTAATTTCTTTAAAAAATGTTCGAATGGTAGTCTATTTACAAAATTAGGGTTTAAAATTCAGCTCTACAGAATACTTTCTCTTCCTACGTACAGTATACTGACCCCAAACATCTCCTAGTACCACTGCTCAACCCAGATATCCTCTCATTCATACCGTCTCACCAGGATGTGTCACAACCTCCCTTTCCACTGAGAGAGGAATAAACCAGTTGGGTTGGTATGACTATTCATAGCTCCAGCATTAAGAACCAGCCTGCCAAAGACTCCAGTATTAACTGGGGACTCTATTAGTGCACTGAGCTCAATGTCTAACAGACACGCATAAGAAAATGACTGAGAGAAAGAGATATGGTAAAATAATACTTAACCAAGAAAGAAAAGTTACATAAGTGTTGAATAAAAAAGGGTAAAAAAATCAGCCATTAACTAGTGCAGTGCTGTTGTTGTCAGGTCTGTTTAATTGCTTCCTTTGTTCAACGATTCATTCCTGCCCTCCTTCACTGCTCTGCACCCCGAGCAATGGAAGTAATAACTATAAGGAGTAAAGATTACTGGCTTTGCTAAATGCAATCTGAATCTCATCTCATGCTTTAACATATGAATGTGTGTAATTACCAGAGTGTGTGTGTGCATAAGTGGATGTATGTGCAATTTTTACTTCCTAATCGACCGGTGGACTTCTGAAAGGAAGCAATATTGATATTTTGATATTTCCAGACCGTTCAAAAGTTTGTGGTCAGTAAGATTTATGGCTGCATTCATTTGACCAAAAAAACCCCCAAAAAACAGTAAAATTGTAATCTATGCATTTATTCCTGCGATGCGGCAATGCTTAATTTTTTTAGTTGCCAACATGATCCATGTTGAAAAAAAGTGCTGTTTAATATTTTTTGTGGAAACTGTCCTTTCAAGGATTCTCTGATGAATAGAAAGTTTAAAAAAAGTCTTTATTTCAAATAGAAATGGTAATATTGTAAATGTTTTTACTGTCACGTTTTAATCAATGCATTCTTATGGAATAAAAGTTTATTTGAATCTTACTGACTGACTTTTGAATGGTAATGTATACTTGTTGCACTATAATATTTGTTTATAATGACATTAATAAAACCAAGCCTCATCAGGTTACTGCAGTTTTCAAAAATAATAATTACAATAATGCTGTAACAAGCAAAGCTACAGTAATTTACAGACTGATATAACAATAACAGGGATATCAGCCAATCACCATAATCTGAAAACCTTATTTGACTTTTTTTCCCTTTATTTCACCCCCTCACAATCAATATCTGCCACCATCTAAAACATAAACTGTTTAGGACAATGTTACTGTAGATGAGATCTTTTTATTTGAAAAATAAGCAAATAAATATGAAATATCTACTCAAATGTATGTATGTTATCTGAAACAATCATGTTTTTATTTTTTGGTTCTTATAACACTGGATTGTATCTGCACGGGTCTGTGGATTCTCACTCTCATTATTATAAGACGCTTCCCAGGAGGAAGCACTCGACCTCGCAGTATTATAAGATGAACCTCTTACCTTGCTCTCCAGACGTCCAATCAGCTCAGCCAGTCGGTTGATCTGTGCCTCGAGTCCCTCTTTCCTCACCTCCACAGCTCCTGACAGACACAGAGAGGCAGATGGTTTCAATGATGTTTCACTCTTCCTGAAACCTCGTCTCAGAGTAACTGTCATAGCAATGCGATAGGGTGAATCAAACGTTCCGACATTATTACTGAGCTTACATTTACATTTTTGCAGATGGCACTGAAATATACCAACATGCTTTTTTTGGTTTATGTACCACCTGATACCATGGCTGTACCATGGTACTGCCACCGCAAATGATAAAGGAAGAGTACACACTGTAAGAATATTGCGTTTCGCATAAAAACAAATGTGGAGGGCGATTAACATGAATCATGATTTTCACCCTACCCTTATTTCTTTTATGCAATGACAGATCCTATTAATGAGGGAAAAGGTTTTCCTGCCTTTGAAATCAGCCCCACTTGAGGTGCCAAACCAATTATACTCTAACACCTCCCTTGTGTTGATGAGGCCAGCATAATCAGGAGGGGAGACATTTTGGAACATTATAAACTGTTACCATAGCAATAGCAGGACCAAGTGAACAGGGCCTGAAACCTTATACACTCTCAGAAAAAAAAGGTACAAAAGCTGTCACTGGGGGCTGTACCTTTTCAAAAGTACCTAAAGGGTGCATATTAGTACCTTAATGGTACATATTAGCACCTAAAATGTACATATTAGCACCTGAAATATCCATATTAGCACCTAAATGTCCATATTAGCACCTAAAATGTACATATCAGTACCTAAAATGTACATATCAGTACCTAAAATGTCCATATTAGCACCTAAAATGTACATATTAGCACCTTAAATGGTCAAAAGTTTTCCCTTTTGAAAAGGTACAGCCCCAGTGACAGCTTTTGTACCTTTTTTCTGAGAGTGTAAAGGCACGGAGAATAGTGAAAATCATCTAAATAAATAATAAAAATAATAATATTCCATATAATAACACTGGAAAAATTGGAAAATGTTTTGCCAAGATTGGAACATTATGAAGTACAATGACCCTTTGAAGAAACATCTCAGTAATATGATGTTATGCATGCATAAAATTGCTGTAAAAACAATAGCCAAATTCTGACAGTAACATACTTTTTTCCATTAAAACAGTAGTAATCTGCTGTAGAAAACAATGAAAAGCAACTGCTGTTAATTTACAGACTATTTTCAACACTGATCTACTGTATTTATGTATTACGGTTTTGTACTGTAGTACCCAATACGTTATGGACTGGTGCATTTTTCAAGTAATAGCACAATGGTTCTGTACGGGTGTTTCACAAGAGTTAGAGCAAGAGTAAGTCTTCCTATCCGTGTTCGCGGTGCTCATGACAGCAATATATGTGGAAAATAGAAAAAAACTAATGGAAGTGGAGAGGAGATGGAACTTTAAACTGACTGTTCGACTGGTCGGAGTGTTTTTTTCTCACATCCAAATCACTTGAACGATGACTGATTAGCTGAAACTGAACAAGCCGGAATAGCGCTTGAGAGTACTTATAAGTGAGTGATTATAAATGCATTAAACAGAGATCCGCTGTAATACATAATTTATTCCCAAATTTCAGTGTTTATTAAGACTTTCAGACTGTGCATTTCCTGGTGGCACTCAGCCTGATGGTTTTGGCCGTCTAGTGCTCGTTGGCAGGAGAAACATACGTAACTGGTCAAATTTGTACTTAAACATGATTGATTATTAAACTTTTTAAAAACACAATTTCATTTACCTGTATAAGCTATACAACAGAGTTTAAGTTTGTATTCTTTAAGCTATAAAGCCATCTCACTGTATCCATACTGTAGAATTACAGTAGATTAGTATTTTACCGTTATTTGACACATTTAGGCACCACAATATTATAAATGTAATCTAAATGTAAAAAAAAAAAAATTGGAGAAATTAGCAAGTACAATTGAATATTCCATATTGGTAATCCAATATTAGTATTGACTAGGGCTGCCCCCTAATAGTTGACTAAACGTTAGTCGACAAGAAGAGGCTTAGTCAACCAAAATTGTATTAGTCGGTAAGTTGCAGAAAAAAAAACTCCACAGGAATTGGTAAAGTATGTTATAGTATAAGACTATTACAAATGTATAATTACATTTTTTACACTACTTTTTTCAAAAGTGAAAAATTAATCGCTACTTTTTTTAAAAGAATTGCTACTTTAAAAAAGAATCGCTTCCCAAATCTTAAGAAATATTTTCATGCAGCACAACTTAGACCTTTAGTCTGCTGGTGTGCTAAGGATTACGAGGCTAAATGGAAAAACCTAGAGCGGTATGTACAAGGGAGGGAAATTCAAAGTCTTATTGGGGATGAAGGTGAAGCTAAAGATTTATTTAAACAGATGAATGCTATCACCCAGTTTTCATTAAAATTGTGGTTCAGCATAATACGAAAATACAAATTAGAGGCAGATCTCCCTTTACTTAGATGGATAGCTTATGACAGACACTTCACCCCGAATACTCTTGACCAGAGATTCCAACAATGGTCACTGAACGGAATAACAGCACTGTGTACAGTATTGAAGGACGGGAATTTTATGAGTTTTGAAGAGATGAAACAAAACTTTACATTATACAATGAGGATCATTTCAGATACTTACAATTAAGGGATTTTTATATGAAGGAAGTAAATCAGGGGAAAACCGGTATAATTAGAACTATAATAGGAATATACAACTCAAGGAAGTACAGAATAATATCTACATTATACCAGCAACTGATGGAGAGGAAGGGAAATACAACATCATATGTTAAGCAGAAGTGGGAAAAAGAGCTAGATATGAATATATCTGAAGAAGACTGGTTACATATATGGAATACACAACAATCTACCACATCGTCTCGTATATGGAGGGAATTCTGTTGGAAAAATGTAATACGATTTTTCATTACGCCTAAAATTAAGAGCACATTTTTGTCAGTACCACAACCATGTTGGAGACAGTGTGGAGCGGTAAATGTAAACCATTCGCATGTCTTTTGGCTCTGCCCTGTTATTACACAGTTTTGGGAGGATGTCCACATGGTTATTGTTGAAATCTTGGGTTACGATATACCTAAGCCATGTGCTGTATTTTGGTAATATGAGAGGAAACATCGTGTCAAGAGCAGACCGATACCTGTTTAAAATTTTGTTAGCAGCATGTAAAAAGGCCATTACAAAAAGATGGTACAAGTCGGACCCCCCAACACGAGATGAATGGCTGAAACTAGTATCTGAAATAAGTGTAATGGAATGGTTGACTCTTAAGATAAGAGTTCAAGAGGACCAATGTGCAAATAATTGGGGAAAATGGACTGTATTTACATCTCAACGACAGGAAGGGGTCTGAAGTTGATGTATCTCTTTCACAAAATTGTAATGTTAAGGTAATCCAGATTGTTCGTGTTTTTTTTTGTTGTTTTTTTTGTGTTTGTATCTGTTTGTTTTTGTTAACTTTAATTTTTGTATATATGTGTTGAATCTATAAAAAAAATAAAGTATTAAAAAAAAAAAAAAAGAATCGCTACTTTTTCATAAAAGAATCAATACTTTTTCAAAAAGAATCAATGCTTTTCCAAAAATGAATCACTACTTTTCCAAAAAATTAATCGCTACGTTTTTGAAAAGAATTGCAACTTTTTTCAAAAAGAATCGCTACTTTTAAAAAATAGAATCGCTACTTTTTCCGAAAAGAATCACTACTTGTGGAAAAAAACGTTTTGGTGGACACACGGCCTAAATGTTTAGCTGGCAGAATGTTTCTTTTAAACCACAATTTTTAAACCACAACCCTCTGTAATGTCAGAATGTTCATTTTTAAACCATAACTTCAACATGTGTTTTTTTTATACAGATATACAGTATTTACCAATACATTTTGCATTTCTAATCCAAACAATGTCAAACTAGGCACTGCACTTCCTTGTGCCCGTAGCAAGACACCTGTCATGGAGAGATATTCGATTAACAGACAGATTGACAGACAGACACACAAACAGACAGACGTATCTGTAATTTATAGATAGATATATACGTGCAATTAGTCTACTAATGGCTTAAATGAATGACTACTAGTCAACTAGACAAATCTTTAGTCAGGGGCAGCCCTAGATAATAAATAAAAAATTCCAAATAAATCTCTACATAAAAAAAGAAAAGACTCACTAGTGTCTACAATAAATTATACAGTATATCAGATTTATAGCTTTGAGCCTGTGTGTGTTGTGTGTGCGCTAGATGAACAGAAATAGAGAGGAGAGTAGAGTGAGAGAAAGAAAGCAATTTGAGAAAAGCTTATGATTGACTGATGGGAGAAAAAGTGCCCTGTGCAAAGCAAGTCTCGCAGAAGTATTGATCAATATTCTCATCCCGTTGCTCATAAACTACAGCTTGGACAGCATGCTCCAATCATGGCTCTCCCTGCCGGAGCTGACAGCTAGAATGGCGCTTTTATTGTGAGCCAAGTCAGCTTTATCTGTGTCTTGGGGAAATTTAAAACAGTGTTTGAACGTCACCCATAAAACAGACCTCTTCGATTGTGTCACTCGAAGAATACTGGCATATCGACGGGCCAGCCTTACAATAAAAGCGGACAATTGAGATCTACTGATTACTGCCAATAAGGAGTGTGCACATTGACGGGAGCTTTTTGTGCTCAAATGGCATTTAAAGGGATAGTTCACTTTGAAATTAATTTTTGATATGTTTTATCTTACCTCAAGGGCATCCAAGATGTAGGTGTCTTTGCTTCCGCAGTAGTTTCAATTTTGACATTTTTCAGTCAAACCGTTGTTGTCTATCAGTCATACACTGGGGGGTCCACCAAAAAGCATGCACAGAGAAGTCAAAATTAAACATGATTTAATGACTAAGTACACATTGATGGCCTAAGACACGAAACGAGCGGTTTGTGTGAGAAAACGAACAGTATTTATATCGTTTTACCTCGTGTAATCCAAGTGATCTGAATTAGTTGTTCAATGTCCAACTGAACCGAACTGAATCAGTTCAATGTTACGCCGGAAGTGATCGCTTGTGTGTGATGTCACTCAATATTTACACGGAGATTTCGGAAGTTTTACCTTTTACTAAACATATTTAGATATACCGAAATCGTCTTCCATTGCGGTTTCCAGTATATCTATGTTTAATGAAAGGTAAAACTTTCGAAATCTCTGTATAAACAAAGAGATCATTTCCAGCACATGCGCAGACCGAAGCGCCCGTGCCGTCAGATCATTTTGTCATGGCTATGATTACAAGAGGTAAAACGATATAAATACTGTTCGTTTTCTCTCACAAACCGCTCGTTTCGTGTCTTAGGCCATCAATGTGTACTTTCATTTACGAGTCATTAAATCATGTTTAATTTGGACTTCTCTGTGCATGCTCTTTGAGGTGAACCGATTGAGGACCCCCTTCACCTCCAGTGTATGACTGACAGACAACAACGGTTTGACCAAAAAATTTAAAAATTGAAAATGCTGTGGAAACAAAGACACCTACATCTTGGATCCACTTGAGGTAAGCTAAAACATATCAGAAATGAATTTCAAAGTGAACTATCCCTTTAACATCCCTGCTGAAATGAGGACTAAGATCAGCCACTGCTCCAAATAAGCTCGGTTTCTGTTCGAATGATAAATCCACAGCAAAAGAAATGTCTGTATTGCTTGGGTGTTTTGAAGAAATTGACTGCATGACTACTCTTTTAGCACTGAGAAGATGAAGAAAGTGAGATGGACATTTAAAAAAAGACTCATAAATTGCTTTTCTCTGTGCTACAGAAAAAAGAAAAACACTAGAATTAATTTGTTACCATATCTCCAACTCCTGACTGAAGCTTAGAAACGCTTTGAGGAAGACCTTTTTTTCCACCTTCTCATTAAAAACTCACACATTTCTTCCGTTGCATCATCCATACAGGACTGTGGTTGGTGTGTGGTGTGTGCTGACTTGGCACACGAAAGGCTTTGTGTTGTTTTAGCGTCTCTTTAGAGTGGTTTCGTAACCAACTCGCAGGAGCTCAGGCCCAAATCTCATCAGTAATGGAAATGTGGTGTGTGTTGATACAGAAAGCCCACGGGAGAGCCTGCGAACCACATCTTTGTCAGACTTTAACTTGGCTTTCGGCAATTAGACGGCATGAGAAATGGTAAATGCGGATGTTTTGCGTGATAATGTAGTTGGCCACCAAGTCTGCACCACAAAAAAAAAGAACCTTACCAAATTGATTTATGCGATGTTTGCAAAAACAAACCCCAAGTAGCAATAAAGCAACATGCCAAATAGACCATTAAACAAGTCATTGAGTAAATCTCTGCTAAAGAAAAACAGGATTGAAAGAGTGGCTAAAATGCCATCTTTAATCTACAGTATGTGCCAATTGTTCTAACTGGGGTAATATTGCTTAAGTCGGTCTTTTCCTCTCAAACACCCTGGCGGAGGAACAGCCACCAAGTCTCAATAAATATTTCCCCGAGTCCTACAACATTGTACCATTCCAAATCAACCTAAGTAGAAGGCAGCTGTCTATCTAGGTAGTAGAGCTCACTAGGGTTTGGAACAGAGCTTATGTAAATGAAGAAATAAATGAGAGGTTTCTTGGCGTACGAGGCAAGAACCAACCATTTCATCCCAACCTTATTCATGTCTCATCACAGCTGCTTCTGCTCACATAAACAGATGCTGATACTTGGAGACATAAGTGGATTCAGTCTCTAAAAGTAAGTCACTTTGCAAATTTGGTACCATTGTGGTTATTTCAGATGCTTTCAGACTTGAATAGCAGAACACATCTACTCCATAAGTACATACTTGAGCTTCAGTCAATTCATAATGCCTAAAAATGCAAATGCAAATGGTGTGCAATATAATATTAGTGCTATTATACCTCCTCTACAATGCTATCAAACTCCTATTGTAAACAATTGAATGCATGTCCACATTTAGTTGTATCTTGAAAGGTGTGTTTGGACACCTCACCTGCACCCGTGTTGATGTTCCTCATGCTCTCCTTTGCACTGACTCTGTTGTTGGGAGGGTAATCTGGCACCGGGGCCTCATAGCGCCTATCTGGGACGCGTGGGCTGGTCTTACTGGGGTAGGATCTAGGTCACAACAGGGAAAACAAGGATGATTAAAGGGTTTTTGGATTTAACTTTAGTTATCAAATCATATTCAAATGCATGACGGCAGCCCAATAAACAAATTTATAGATTGCTTTCAATCACATACCCGGGTGAGATGCCAAACCTGCTCTATTATTATTGTGCATTTAAACCCCGCAATTGATGTAATGTAATCTACTTAACTGTTGATGACTGATGTCCTAATGGACATTTGTGTTGATGGAACTGTGGTACGTATGCTTTGGGTCATGATGGGTGATGCTCTTTCTCACCCCACTGATGAATGCTGCTCATCAATGGCATCCACAGCACTCTCGACAGAGTTCAGCAGAGACTGGATCTGATTGGCTGATTCCTTCAACAGGAATCGGGTCACAAACTGCTCAACATTAGTTCCCCGTTCATATACCTGCAGTGAGAGAGGGAGAAAGAGACAGGAGGAGAGATTGAAGAAGGGAAGAGAGATTTTGGTAACACTTTACAATACGTGTGCACTAATAAGCATTATGCTTAACTAATGCACAGATAATTCTGAATTAATGTGTAACTAATGATTAATTAAGCTATTCATTAATGATTACCACATTAGGAACTAATTAAGAGCCTGTAAGGTTAATGTATTAGTTCATACATGAATTGTTATTAATTAAATATGTAATTGTGGATTAATTCCATTATAACTCATTTTTTTAACTAATAGTATTAATTAATATGTTAATCATCAGAATGAGCCAAAGCCTTGTATTTCAACTTCCAGATAATATGACAGGTACAGTAATATACATTAATACATGATTAATTACTTCATTGTTAGTGCAAATTCATGTGCAAATTACTACAATTACTAAATGACTAGTTAATAATGATGTGCCCCATCAAGTAAAGTCATGGCATAATGATACCTTTGCAAATCATTCGCTAATGATTAATTAAAGCAGACAACTGGAAGTTGAAGTGCATAGCTTTGACTAATTGTGGTAATTAACACATTAATTTACACTATTAGTTAAGAAAATATGTTATTAAGGAATTAATACACAATGACACATTGAATTAATAGCAATTCATGTATTACTTAATCTATTAATCATATTGACTCTTTATTAGTTGCTGATGCAGTAATCATCAATTAATGGTTTAGTTCTTCATGATTATCATTACATTAACTCATGATTATCTGTGCATTAGTTAAGAATGAATTAATGCACATTAGTGCACCCGCATTGTAAAGTGTTACCGAGATTTTCCTAGTCCTGTTTAAGAAACTCTTTAAGCAAAACATGCCCCAGAGGTCGCAGGGAAAGAACAGATGTGGAACGAGCTCAAAGAAAGGACACAAACCAAAATGCTGCTCATGTGGGTGAAAGCTTAGGGCGAGTTAAGTTCTGAAAGCTTGTAATGGTGTCGGACATTGGAGGTGCCAACACTCATTGATCCGGTGACATTTTGACCGCTTCCCCAAACACTCAGTGTCTGTTTTACACCATAGAGGCATAATGTTTCACAAAGGTGCTGTACTGGAACAAACCGACTTTAAAGGTGTTAAAAATTCTGGCCCCGAAGCTGCTTTAGTGGTGAACTTTAAGCTTTATAATTGTACGTATAAACACATGGATTCTGTCAAACACTCCCAGGAGCCATTGTGGACTCTTAGTTTGGAGTTTTATGACCTTTTAACCACATATGTCTCTTTTTTTTTTTGGCAATTTCCTCTTATAATCTTGATCGTTGTCCTATATTGTCTATATGGAAAAAAACAACCTTTGTGTAGCAGTCAAGACTCAAGACATCGTAAAAAAGGGAGTAAACATCTAATATGTGGCTTGCTCAGTCATTGTCCATTGGCACTGAGATTTTGCTCTGATTTGCAGAAAGTTTGTCATGGTCAGCGTTTTAACCAAACCTGGCCTTCATGGATCGCAAAGTGAATATATGAATGTGAAGGCAAGTAAAATTGGACTGCAGTGCTGGCCTCTGTAAGGTATCTCATTAATTATACTGCATTACCATGCAGACTTAGGATCACTGTGTATAAAAAGACCATAAGAGAAGGAATAATAAAGGAGACTGGGAGCACTGACAGCCTGTAGTACTCCATCAGTCCAAGAAAACAAAGTATGTGAGTGAAGGATAGAGGGGTGAAATGGGGGGCTGAGTAGTCTAGAAGTTCAAATTCATTTAAATGAAAAGATTGCAGGTTTGATTTATGACTTGAAGGGATGGAAATTAAATTCCATAAATGACTTCACCTCACGTTGTTGTTCCAAATCATTATGAATTATCTTCTTTTATGAGATGCCGTTTTGGACCACATGGACTACCACAAAATGGATAAAAGTAGTTTATCAATTATTTTTTATGTTCCGCAGAAGAAAGACAGTCAGATAGGTTTGAAACGACATGAGGGTGAGTAAATGATGCTCCTTTTATTTATTTATTTTTTTACCTTCGTCATTATATAGCAATCACCTAGTGTTAATCTTTAAAACCAATAATAATTGGATAAAACTGTTAAATGTACTTTTAGCAAATATTTATTTTTTCATATTGTACACTTCAGAATTGTGATGTCTCAATTCACTTCAAGTTCACACTGCTGGCCCTAAATGCATATCCAATTGGAATCTGATCTAAAATTATTGACTATGTAACACTGTGTATCGCAACTGTTTAGATCCGATTTGTGTGTCCCATGCCACTCTTTCATTTTCCGGAATATCTGCCTTGGTTTTTATTGCAATGACCATGCAAAATGACAATGTTGGTAACTAAGGATACACATAAAACAACAACAACTGACACATGGAGGGGTTTGCAATAGTGGTGTTGTCCTTACAATATGACCATGTACTGGCGGCTACACATGGTTATATTGTAAATAGGACAACATCTGTATGTGGTATGAGGGGCTTTATTCTGTCACCGCCAATTTCAAAACAGATCTCCGTTATATTGTCATTTTTTTCGTCCAGCACTTCGCGACAACACAACCTTGTTTCTGCAGCGACTTTCAGCATTTCTATATAACAACGTCTGACGTTCATGTTTTACGTGGCATGAGAGTGACATAAATCCGATTAGAGCAGTCAGACTGAAACGGATTTGCAGGAAAAGGATTTCAAACAAATATGAATATGATTTTTTTGTGCCATTCACACATGCTAAATCTGATTGGATTTCAATAGGGGAAGGAACAAAAATTGAATTTGGTCTGAATACAGTTCTGACTGAGAGTCTTTGTAGCTTTTAAAATAACTGAATTTGTTGTGTTTTTTATTTTAATTTAAAGGGATTTTTTTTACTCACCCTCATGTTGTTCAACCCCGTAAGACCGTCGTTTATCTTCGGAACACAAATTAAGATATTTTTGATGAAATCTGAGAGCTGGATCACTCATCCATACTAGTCCATAGGCTTCTAAGGGATTGAAACTTGCCGTCCCCGAAAAGTTATTAAAGACATCGTTAAAATAGTCCAAGTGATTGCAGTGGCTCAATCTTAAGTTTATCAAGCGACAAGAATACTTTGAGCGCAAAAACAAACAAAAATAACAAATAACTATTAATTTCCTTCTGTTTGGGCCTCTAGTCAGTTAACGTAGTGTGACTGCGTAGGGCTACATCACACGTAGGCTCACTATTGGCCAATGCTGGTCATGTTTGTGATGCGTGTGACGTACAACAACAGAAGCTTGCGCTGTTACACTCATAGATATCTATATAAAGGCTAGATATCTCTTCCACGCTGCTGGCCAATGGAGGTCGACGTCTGCACCTGGCGGCCATCTTGTCACAGGCAGCTCGCTCACTCGTAACATTGTGTTAATGGTACATGTACTATTTAAATGACCATAACTTGCTCTATTTTCTACCGATTTTCAAACGGTTTGGTTTGTTAAAAACATCAGAGATGTAGTTATGACACAGCATACTTATGAATAATAAGTGTATAAATAAATAATCATCCAGATAATTATAGCCACGTTCAATGAGATAAGAGTATTTGTGTTCGTCCTGACCACTCATCTTACATCAGCTTGCCTGTGACAAGATGGCCGCCGGTGATGACGATAGAAACTCCGCCTTAAGACATCTAGCCTTTATTTTGGATATCTATGGTTACACTAGTGAACTGACTCGAGGCCCACAGAGAAGGAAATGAATAGTTGAATAAAGTCATTATTTTTGCGCACAAAAAGTATTCTCGTTGCTTGATAAACTAGGATTGAGCCACTGTAGTCACTTGGACTATTTTAACAATGTCTTTAATAACTTTTCGGGGGAACAAGTATGGAGGAGTGATCCAGCTCTCAGATTTCAACAAAAATATCTTAATTCGTGTTTCGAAGATGAACGAAGGTCTTACGTGGTTGGATCAACATGAGGGAGAGTAAAAACTGACAAAATTTTCATTTTTGGATGAACTATCCCTTTAGGTAAAACAGTATAGAATTTTAACATATAGGCTATTAACAATTGCATGAAAATAATGATTAATTTAACATTGTGCAAAGAGCCGTTTCTTGGTGAAACTGCATGAAAACAGATTTCCTCTGGCCCTGTTTGAGTGGTGAAAAATATAGATTATTTTCTAAATGGAGGATGGATGCTAGTGTCTCTCATGCTCACCTGCCTGAACGAGGAGCCACCAGGTGGTGACGGTGGTGGTCGGGTAGGCTCAGAATGATTTATTCTAACGATATGCCAGGTCAGTGGTTCTGCAGGGCGTTTTAGTGCCAACAAGGGCCTTAACACAGATCAGCAAGCTCAGAGTTAGGGCTTACTGTCCATGCCAAAATAAACACGATTTCTCAACATAACTGGCAAAACAAATAACTTTTCAAATCCAGAAAACTGCATCAACCAAATGACAGCAAGGATGATCAAGAAGTAAAACAAATAACCAGAAGATCAAAACTCTATATAACCGTGGCGGGCCTTTAATGAGCTGTAAATGTGTTTGAACTTTCAGGACAGCTTGGAGCAAACTAATGATTTGGTGCCCAGACTGCATGAGTGTAAAAGGATATGGGTTGTCATGAAATATTCATTCTTCTCTATTATGGCCCAGGAAACACATACACCCAAACACAAATGTACAAATAGCCTGTCACCCTTCTGTAAAATATGCTGTAGGCACTTCTGAAAGTGTGACTGATAAGCTGAATTACTGAATAACAATGAGTGACATACTGGACTAAAGCATCCTGAGACACCTGCGCTCAAGCCAAAACCTAAACAGTCCAACAGAGCATTATATGTGATCCACAAAGACGGGTTTTCCACAAAATAAACAATATGTCACACACAAGATGAATATACCATCAGGGGCTGAGGAGGAGGTTGTGAGGAATTGTGATCTTACAGTTGGAGATATGTCAACAACTAATGTTTTTTGTCCTTTGTAGAG